AGTCATTAGGTTGCCTAGGCTGGACTCAAATTCCTGATGCTCTTGCCTTAGCCTCCCAGAGTGCCGGGATTACAGGCGTGTGCTACCTCACTGGCAGCTGTTCTGACTTACCGTGATTCCAAGCAGCAGCTTTCACTAGAGCCAGGAAACAGTTCCCATAATGAGATCAACAGTGCCAACCTCTTGACCACCAGCCAAGGCAAGAAATTCCCCCGTCCACCCACATTACACTGTCCCTCCTTCAAAGGTCTTTGCAAAACCAGCTGCAGTTCTAAGAACTCCTGGAAATATCTAGTCCTTGCCACTCTGGAGAAGCTATTCCTTCTAGTCAAGAGTCCCCCACATGCCTGGGGCCTGCGGTCAGGAAGCACAGGCCGAGGGATGGCCTGCCTGCCTTTATCTAAGATCCTATCGGGGCTGGGGATTTAGCTCAGCGGCAAAAGCGCCTGTTTGGCAAGCGCAAGGTCGTGAGTTCGGTTCCTGGTACCGGAGAAAAACCAAAAACAAACAAACAAACAAATAAGATCCTATCTTTTGCGGGCTGGGCCTCGGTCCTGAGTGTTTCAGCGGCCCTGTAGTTCTAGGCTACCTGCTGCCATGGAACCCACCTCTAGCCCACTGATATCTGGCAGTGCTGACTGCTAGGCTGGTGTTGGACACTGCACCATTTCTAGTCCATAGATAATTGTAAAGTCACAGAGTCGATGATATCGTCCAGGGGAGCAGAGTGAGAAGAAGGTGGAAGACAAGAGCCTCGGAGAACACAGACCTTTCAGGAGCATCAAGAGAATCACTGAAGTAAATAGTATTAGCTCCTTTTTTTTTTTTCCTGTCTTTTTGAGACAGGGTCTCACTATGCAGTTCAGGCTGGACTCACTTTGTGATCACTTTGTAGCCCATGCTGGTCTTGAACTTGCAATGATACTTCTGCCTCAGCCTCCCGAGTGCTGGGATTACAGGTGTGTGCCACCATGCCTGGTAGTATTAGCTTCTGAGGCTGCTGTGATGAATGACCATAATTTAGCAGCTTAGAACAAAACGGACTTCTGATCTCACAGTTCTGGAGCTCAGAAGTCTGACAGGGGCTGCACTACTAAGAGAGGCTCCAGGAAGCATCGGTTTCCTTACCTTCCCTAACTTTGCCCTCCTCTATGTTCAAGGACAGCAGCGAAGCACCTTTAATTCTCTTCTTTTCTGTCCCTCTTTCTCCACAATCACTTCCCTTTCTGACTGTGGTCCTCTTGGGGACCTCTCTTCTAATGTCCCTTGTGATTCCATCCAGCTCATCTGGACAATCCAGGACACTCTCCCCATTTCCAGTTCCTTAACTTGCTCCTGTCTGCAAAGTCCCTTTGTCATATGCAGTAGCACATGACAGGTTCACAGGTTCCAGGGATTAGGACATGGACACCATTTTGGGGGAGGATTACTCAGCCTACTGCAGGAACTAAGAAGGATGAGAGGGCCAGGGATATAGCTCAGTGGTGCAGTGCCTGCCTGGCAAGCACAAGGTCCTGATTTTTGGTACCGATTCCTGGTACCAAAAAAAAAAAAAAAAAAAAAAAGAATGAGAAAGTGGGAAGAGTTGGGGAGCCAGGAGAATGGGGAGAAGGGTGCAGGTAAATAAGTCACTGCTATGGTTTGTGTCCGGATTTCCCCCCACAGCCTCATGCAGTCATGGGACAGGCTTCTAGAGTTTGTGACTAATCCGTGGTCCACTGCTGGGATTACGGGTGTGAGTGCTACACCGCCTTGGGGCAGGTAGCCTGCTTACAATATAAGGGAGAGAAAGAGGCTTGCCCTCTTGCTGCTTTTGCTCTCTTCCACTGCCTTGAACTGTTGCCCTCTGCCATGTGCCACTCTGCCTTGAAGCCAGCTGATTATGGACTGAAACCTCTACAAACTGTGAGCTAAATAAACCTTTCCTTCCTTAATTTTGGGTGTCGGGTATTTTGGCTTAGCAAGAGAAAAGTAAGTCACCAAAGTTGAAAGCTATCAGGAGAGAGCTGGATGGGAAGTCCGTGATTTGCATGGCTTCCACAGATTTCTAACTATAAAGACAGAAATGTACTTTTCCCATGGAGAGAGGGCTGGCTGGCACCACCCTCCCCCAAGTCACACTGAGTACCCTAAAAATGGGCCACCACACACACTGTGTCCTGTCACTTTCCCACTGCGGTGCCCAGCACCTCCAAGCAGGTTGAGACCTGGCTCTCTATAGGCTTTCCAAGCTTTTGAGAAGACTCCATCAGCTTTGGGGGCCTAAAACGGGGTTGGGGCTCTGAAGAGCTTCCCCGCAGAGTAGAGATTTATTGTGAGTGGATTCCAGCAGCTAAGCCAGGTCTGGGGAAAGAGCTACAGGCAGGTGGAGCTGGCTTGGGTGAGGCTCACCTCCACTTCACCCGAGAGGCTGCAAGGCCACGAGGTCTTGGGACTGAGACTGTCACAGGGAGTGTCTGATCTGTGCAGAGGCTGGGGGCCCAAGCTTGGGCTCAAGAGAGAGGACCCCACATGGGTGAAGCTGGGGAGAGGCCTCTGCCCACTCTTACAGCTGGGGAGAACACATTTTCTGTGCAACCATGGAGCAGTTTATGTGACCTCCCTGGGCCTCCATTTCAAGGCAGAGAAACCTAGAAAGGTGAGGGCTTACTTGAACTGAATGGTTTCTTCTTTCTTTTCCTTCTCTTTCTCTCTCTCTCTCTTTTTTTTTTTTTTTTTGGTACTGGGAATTGAACTCAAGACCTTGTGCTTGCCAGGCAGGGACTGAGCCACTGAGCTATATCCTCAGCCCTGCTTTTCTTTTTTCCTCTTTTCCTCCTCTCCTTTCTTTTTTTTTTCTTTACCACAGAAACATTTATCCATGCTGCAGGTATTCATCTAAGCAGGTACCAGGAGTCAGCTGCAGAGTGAAGCAGGAGGACAGGACCCAGTGTCTTCTGTTCCTCCACACCAGCCTCCTTTACACACACAAAGCCCTGAGTCCCAAAAGGTCCTGAGATATTCTGAGCACCTTAGGCTCAATTTTCTAACATTACATCAAGCACTAGTGTACCAGCCAGTCTCAAATGATAAGGAGCCAAAGAATGCTCTACTTGGGAACGCTCCGAGCCCAGTCTAGAGCCTGGAAGAGCATGCAGGAGAAGGGAAATGCTAGGAAAGGCTGCCTCCAAGGTGGAGTCTGACTTTCTCGCCATAGTTGACTTATGTTATTATTTGTATCTGCATGTCCCCCTAAATCCTCACGCACACATGGGGCAGGCTTGATTGATCCATACAATACTGGGATTATGGGTGTGAGCGCTACGGCGGATAGTTTGCGTACATAAGGGAGAGAAAGAGGCTGCGCCATTCCTCCCTTTTGCTCTTGTTGTTTTTGCTGTGTTCTGCGGCCATGAACGCTTGCATTCTGCCATGTGCCACTCTGCCTTAGAATCAACCAAGTATGGACTGAAACTTCCACAAACTATAAGATAAATAAACCTTTCCTTCCTTCATTTTGGGCGTTGGGTATTTTGTCTCAGCAACAAGAGAAAAGTAACCAAGACAACTTAACTTACTTAGGAGAGCCTGCCCTCTTAGAGCCTCCCGTCTGCAGTGCGACAATCACTCCTGTGCCTGTGGCCTGGTTGACGCAGTGATGTGCTGTGAGGGGAAGTCACGGGACACTGAATTTCCAACTGTAGCGAACAAAACCCCTACTCTGGGTTAGGATTCCCAGTGGGGCAAAAGAGAGCCGCCAGCCACGTGCTTCTGTGGCCCCCACGGATGCAGGATGACTGGTTTATTTTCCATCAGATGTTCTCTTCTAGACTGTAGTTATCTTAAACAAGACAACTAAAACAGTATCTGAAGCTGTTGCCAGGGCAACCTGACAAAAGGACTTTGCCCTCAGCTACTGTATATGTAATTTATCAAAGGCAGCTGGCACACGGGGAGAGGGAAGGGAAGGGAATAGGTTGTCACTCTCTGCCTTGGAAAGAAATGTCAGAAGACTCCCTCCTGGTTAAACCAACGTATAGAGAACAGGAAGTAAGACCTGACCCATGCAAAAAAATTCACAGGTGTCAGGGTGAAAATGCCAAAGGAAAAGCCCTCTGCTCTTCTCTCGAGCTCTCTGCGGAGAGATAACCTCCTCACCTATGACCATAAAACACTTGCATCTTAGCAGCTTGAAGAACTGGAGCTGAAAGTATGCCCTAAGGGGAGGAACTAGGAAAAAACTGAGAAATTAAAGAATGCAGCTGGAACATTCTTGGTTTTATAAATACACACAGAACACAGGGAGCTCTTGACATACCTGATAGCTCTTCTCTTACGAATCAGAACCTCCATGAAAGCAGCCACTTGCAATGGGACCAGCAACAGACAGTTTGGAGGACCTACAGACGCCAAGTGCAACCTGCCCGTGGAATCGATGAAAAGACCAAGGCCACTCAGGGTACATAGCTAGGAAAGGGCACAACTTCCTGTTTCCTCTTGGTCTTTCCACAGCTGCGGTGCTTTCATCAGCCACTACCAGTTTACTGTGAAAGATGCAGAACCTGGACCCTTTTAGAGAACACCTGGTGGGGCACTGAGCTTCAAGGGCCCCTCTATATCAATCTATTTTTCTATTTCTTGGGGCCCCACTCGGAATTACTTAAGGGAAAAATCTGTTAAAGTTGGAAGATCATCAGCCTAAAGATAAGTACATTAGATAATGTTGATGGTTGTTCAACCCTGTGAATATGCTAAAACCAGTGCATGGTGGTGAATTTTATTATTAAAATTTTACTTTTTTATAGGTTTACAGAAATGACATGTAAGTTACATAGTATTTATTTATATTTTAAAAAATACAATATCCCTTTGTTCACACAAAAGGGAATACTGAAACAAGCAGTATGTGGTGCTGAGGGTCAGAGACCAAACAGGAGCAGACCTAGAAGTCTTCCTCTGCCCTCCCCCAGCCCACCCCCAGATCCCCACCAGGAGACCCCGTGCTCCAGGCCCCTGCTCACCGAGTTGGTGCCAAGGATCTGCAAGTTGGGCTTCTCGGACTCCAGCAGCTTGGCCACCATCTTGAGGAAACTCTCCACGAAGAGGTTGATGCTCTGGCAGTGGCAGGCCATGAGCAGCTGGTCCAGCGCCTCCATGGCAATGCACACGTACCTGGGGAGAACACACCCAGCCCTCATCAATGGCTCTTGGCCCTCCCACTCCCACTGCCTGACAGGCCAGCCGGGTGTCTGTGTGACGACCTCCAGGGTGGCAGCTGAGGCGACCTCCCCAGGGGCTCCCAGGGTCTACATGGCCAGCCAACACGTGCCTACTGCTCTGACCTAGAACTGAGAACCAAAAAGAATCAGAGCTGCACAGGGCCTTTCAAAGTGTTAATGCTGCCTGCCACTCCCAAGTCAGGTTCACGGGCCACATATGTAATAAAGGACGAGTGCAAAGACTTTCTCTTCTTTTTACCTCAATCCAAATCATATCCATCTTTGAATGTTAGGCAAATAGTTAAAAATTCTTAATTAGCTACTCTCTCTCTCTCTCTCTTTTTTTAACTTTGGGCAAAATGAAAGCACAAGAAACATGACTCTAGGGCAATGTCTGGAGCCATCCTGATGCCAGACACAAGGCCCCACCATCCTGCCAGTGGCTGCCCAAGTTCGGACACCGTGCGATCCAACTGCCTCGGATCTGTCCCCACTTTGCAAATCCAAACACATCAAGAAACAGAAGCAATGATATCTTAAAAAGAATTTTTTATGAAAGCATCAGCTAGCCTGGCGTGGTGGGGCACACTTGTAATCACAGCACTCAGGAGGCTGAGTCAGGAGGATCACGATGAGTTCGAGCCAGGCTGGGCTACAAGATAAGTTCAAGGCCAGCCTGAATTGCATAGAGAAACTCTGTCTCAAAAAAGACAAAAAAAGAAAAGGATCAGATACTATTTCTTAGGTACCCTTGTGCTAACTCCTATACTGTGGAACCATTAAAGAGAAAAAATAAAGCCTCTATACTTAGAAATTTTCCTTTCTACTTTTATAAAATGTTTACTTCTTTAATCTATAGAAACTCGATCAAATTTTTAAATTATTATTAAATATTACTAGGTAGTTGTCCCTGGGCACATTCACAGTCAGAGTGCTTCTCAGACTCAAGGGCCTCATAGGGCCTTTGTGCTCCCTGGTAAGTGGGCGCCCAGTCTGCCCCTCCTCTGGAACTGGCATACATTGCTGGCTCTCCATGCCCTGCCCTGCACGGTCACGGTTACCCAGGAGACCTGCTGTGCCTTGCAGTCCCATCCTGTAGCATGAAGGCCACTGAGGCAGAGCCTGAGTCCTCAGGGCTGGGAAGCAGACTGGCCTGGAGCCCTGTGGGGACACAGACCTGCCCTGCTGAGAAACTGGGACACAATCACGCAGCCAACCATGGCAAATGGAAATGAGGCAGGGAGAGCAGTCCTCTCTTCTCTTACAGAGCATCCCAGCATCCTTTTGTAGGAAGGAATCTGCACCCACCTCTCCACGACCTTACAGAGTTTAAATGAGGTAAATAAAGGAAAGGGTGGGATGGGTGTGGTCAAGCGAGAGAAGAACCTAAAAGGCCTTCCAAACTCCTGAGCCTAGATTATCGCTTTTCCTTTTCTTTTTTGTTTTTTTTTTTTTTGTTTTGTTTTGTTTTCCGGTACCGGGAACTGAACTCACGACCTTGTGCTTGCCAGGCAGGCGCTTTGCCGCTGAGCTAAATCCCCAGCCCCCGCTTTTCCTTTTCTTGCAAAAAAAAATTCCAGAATATCCTGGTAAGCAAAAAACAGCTTTGTGGAGGTGGGGGTGGGGTGAGCTGGCTCCTGACCAGCACTGGAAATTTTGATGGGAAATGAAAAATACAGCAAAAGTGAAACTGAAACATGAAGAAGTAAAGAAGTTGAAGGCCTTGTTCTTTGATCCCATTACCCTTTGTTCTCCATCTCTGATCCAATACCAAGGATGGCATGACTATAATTACAAACTGGAACTTTTCAGAGTATCCTGGAACTCCCAACCCAATACTCTCTGTGTCTGTCCTATTTTATCATCACCTTCCCAAGTGTGGTCCATCTGTTAGGCCTATGTTCTCAGAAGAAACAGCACATGGGGTTTTTGGAGTGATGGCCACTCAAGAGGACTCTGGTCAGAAGGTCATCATCAGCGGCGACCTGATCTGGGTGTGGGGTGTTGAAGAGGCCCAGAGTAGTCTGGGAATCCAAATAGACCTACCTGGGTACTTGGAGCAGAGTGGGTCAGGAAGGAGCTGGGCCACGGGGAGGCAAGGCCCGGTTACGGACCACAGCAGCAGTGGACACCCTGTCTCAGATGTACTAGAAGGGCAGAACTCGAGGGATCTGGCACAAGTGGCGGGCCATGACAGGACACAAGGCGGGTTACAACAGGATGAAGTCAAGGTCAGGGACCAAGACAGAAGAGGGCTATGACCACCAAGGAGAATATCCAGGGGCCTGGTGCTTAGCAAACAAGCAAGAAGTACCTTATATGGAGCCCCAGAGAGGTGCTCAGTCAGGGGCATCCCTAGAAGCCAGGGGAGGTTTGGAGCTTCCAGGGTAGGAGTTGGGTACACTGGCTGGGAACCAGACTTAACTGGATAGGAAGACAGATCTAGGAGCTAGGAATTAGGATCAGCAGGCAGGAAGAGGGGGTAACTTTTAGCAGGGCCAGTCATCATCCAAGAATCACTCAAAGGGCCTTGACAAAGAACCTCTTATTCTGGGCAGCTGAAATGTGCCTGGTCAGCTTAAATGTGTCCTGGACAGAACCATCTGGGGCCCTAACTCAGGCTGGCCCTCCCCATCCAGTGAGTCTGCAGTATGCTCATCTGAAGGGTCAGCCTCCCTCCAACCAGCCTCAGGGCCCTCAGGTTGGAGTAGCCTCACCCTCCTGGGCCCTCACCAGCAATGTGAACTGAGCCAAGTCTCACCCAGCACTGCTGTTACCTCCCTTGCTCCCCAGTTTCTAGGGTGTTTCAGTACTTGGGCTGGCTGGCAAAGAAATGCAAGGAAAGGTGAAGGAGAGAGATACAAGGAGTGTTTCCTTTGTGATCCACTGCCCTGCCCATTCGAATCCACAGCAATGAATGAAGGATGCCTTGAAATTCGCCCTCACTCCCTCTCTGCCCACGTCTGGCTACACTTCTGATGCTAAACTCCCATGATCCAGGAACCCCATCCACCTGGGAACAGGCTGGCTGCACAGGGTAGCAGTGGTCAGAAGAGGGTGGTGCTACCATGGGGACCCGGCCCTGATGTCCATGTGCATAGGTCACACCATAAACAGACACCTGCGTCACCAACAGGGAGAGCTAGCCCCTCCCACTGTTTGTTCGTAAGTACTTTGCTCTTCCATAGCTGCCGTCAGTGGCGTGGAAGATGAAGACGTATGAGGCACTCGGGAAGGAAAGGCAGGGAGGGTGAGGACAGAGAACAAGAGATGAGCTGGAACACATTTTTCTTCTCCAAGTGTTTATGATGAAAGCCCTCCACAAGGCCTTTGGGCTTTAAATACAGGCTGCAATGGCTATTTTTAACAGGACGATGCCAATTTTGCACTGCCATCCTAAGGATTCTAAGTGGCTCTGCTAACTGCTGGACATTTTTACTGAGACAGCCATCACTGTACAGAAGTTAGGCACAATTAGTATTAAATGTTTCATGCACTAGCTGCACATTAGCCGTAGGTTCAATCTAGGATAAAGCGATTTTTACTTGCTGGTGTATACTTTATAGTATGTCAGGGCCCTTTATGTAACAGCATGCAATGTCTAACCTAGTTTTACTGTGTAGAATGATTGTGGAAATATATTAGTTTACATGCTGCTTTTTATACTAGGGTAGCCTGATTTAAGATTTGCCAGGGTTGAGGGTGTAGCTCAGTGGCAGGGTGTGCTCAGTATGGGCAAAACCCTCGGTTCAATCTCTAGTGGGGTTGGGGGCAGATCTGCTGATGGGCTCTGTGCTTTCTGGACCTCAGTGCCTTGCCAGTACCAGGTAAACCTTCTCACTCACTCTCGCTCAAGGTTCTCTCTTCCCCTCCTGGGAGGGGTCTTGGGGGCAGTGAGCTGATGGGCAGTGGGAGGAGAAGGGAGGTCAAGCAAAGACTCAGAGCCAGGAGGCATCAGCCAGTCCGTCTGCAGCCAGTTCTACAGCAGGTGTGATGGCAGGGTTAGGGGAAGGTTGTGGGGAGACCTCAGAAGTCAAGCTGAGGAGTGTGGATTTTATCCGAAAGGAGCCAGGAAGGTATAGTTCTGGGTCTGTGAGCCGAAGATCTTATCCAGCAGGATTAACCTGGAAAGACCAGACAGGGAAAATGGGAAGCAGGGAGACCATTCCTAAGGCTGCTGTTCTCATCTGAACAAGTAGAGAGTAAGAATCTGACCAAACAAAAGGCAGGAGCAGTAGGAGGGAGAGGATGGAGAGCAGGACCAATGGGACTTGGGAACAGCTGCCCCAAACCTACCCAACACTTGACCCTGTGAGCGATGCTGCCAGGACCATCTCAGAGCTCTCTGGACATTAGGCCTCCATGAATTGTGCAATGAAAGGAGACAACAAGTTCCTTCTTCTGTTGTGGCGGTAACACACACCCAGTAGGGAATATTTGGGAAAAACAGAAAAAGTAGATACAAAACCCAACCAAAAACAACAAAAAGAAACCCTGGCTATACCATTCACAAAATGAATCCTCTCAACGTTGTGGTCCATTTTCTACCAACTGTGATTTGTTGTTGATGCTCACTTTTAAATTTTATTATAAATACTTTGTATGTAATTATGCAGCCTATTTTTCATTTCCTAAGGCATTGCTCATATTATAGAGTAAGCATCTTTATAATCACCATTTGTATTGATTAGACAACATTTTATTGAATGGTACATACCATAATTTACTGAACTATTCTCTTATTGAGCACTTTACTTCTACTTTTCCACTATTACATAAAACACCATAATACACCTCCATGTGTAAGGTAGATTGTAGTTAAGGCTGATTCCTTGAGGACAGGTGAACAGAAATGGAATCATTAGGTCAAAGGGCATGAAGAGTTTTGTAGTTCTTGACACATATTTCAGAAATACTTCCTAGAAAGTGTCAACCCGTTTGTTCTCTTTCTTCCTATAAAGAAGTGCCTCCCTTTTTGCCATTTCTGGTTAGCTCTAGAAATTTTTTTTTTGTATTAACTTGATGAGAGCTTAGCATTTCAGGGCTTCCCCTCCAATGACAAGTTTGTTATTATTCCATGCTGGAAACAGCTTCTAGCACCCATCTGCAAACCGCTTATTTGTGTCTGACCTTTGCGTCAGACCACTTATTCTTTTTTTTTTTTTGAGACAGGGTCTCACAATGCAGCTCAGGCTAGCCTTGAGTTATGTAGTCCAAGCTCACCTGAACTCAAGGTGATCTTCTTGCCTCAGCCTCCTGAGTGTTGGGATTATAGCATATACCATCATGCCTGGTCAGACCACTTTTTCTCCCCACTCTGCACCCAAAGTATTTATTATATTCTAATAATGTATGGGCTTGAATCCTTTGTCTTGTTTGATAATGTTTACTTTTGGTGCTTGCTTTTAAAATTTTGATTCTCAGCAGTGATGCATGCCTATAATCCCAGCACTCCGGAGGCTGAGGCAGTTGGACTGCTGTGAGTGCAAGGCCAGCCTGGGCTACATAGTGAGTTTAAGACCAGCCTGAACTACAGAGAGAGACCCCGTCTCAAAACACCAAATAAACAAACAAATAAATAAAATATTTTCTTTTTGACATCAAAATATTCAAATTTTAAACAGCTAAATTTATTGATCATTTTCTTCTGGCTTCTTTTCTAAACACAAGAGTCTTTCCCTCTCAAATGATTAACAAATAATCTCACTAAAGTATACCTTTAATGGGCACAGTGACCCTAACCTTGTCTTCCCGCTAGGAAGTGGGTGGTTCCTCCTCACACCTTTGAAGCCAGTCAATGGCGTGAGGCAGGGCAGGTTTGAGGAGAGGGACAGTGTGTTCTGGGCTGGGTATTCCAGGGCCCACACTGGGTGTGAGGCCTTCTGTGTGGGGACACCAGCAGTGCTCCTCAGCAACCCCTTTCCAAACTGTGGCAGCAGCACGCCCTTTCACCTGCTTTCTTAAGCTACGGAGCCCCTCCCCAGCCCTGCTCCTATGTTCTCAGTCTGTCCAGTCACCCAGCTGCTGCCATTTTCCTGAAGTGGCATCCCACTGCTTTCCCCGACAGCAGGACAGAGTCCGCGAGCATCTCTCCCGCCTTCCCACTGCTTACCCATATCGATGACGGCCCACATCACGGATAAGCCTCTCGGAGAGGTAGGCGCCGATGCGGTCTAGCTTTTCTGGGGCGGAGAGGGCATAGAAGGTCAGTTTCTCCATATTTGTCTTTACCAGGCCATCCTGCGAGAGATGTGGTTCAAAATCACCATGGCCAGACAATGGCAGAAGGGTTCACACTTGGAGGTAAACACAACCAATTGAATCAACATTTATACAGGGCCTGTTATGTCCATGCCAGGCACCATACTGGCTGACAAGAGACAGAGTCAACCAAGACCCAGGGCTGGACTCACGGTCTAGCCCTACACGCTAGCCAGCTCTGAATAAATATAGATAGCAAGTGAGAGAAGTATGTGCATACACCTGTATGTAAATAATACACATGAATGTGTATATATACGTGGTTGAGTGTGCAGACATATGTGCCCGGATGTGTGAATGAATAACAAGCCTTCATTAAAAGCCACTCAGAGTTAAGATGTGTTGGAGCCATCCCCAAGTCATAAAGCAGGAGCTCTGTGGCCCTGGGGGAATTCTTCCGAGGATGCTAGAAATGTGATTGTCCATTCAGAAGAGACCATTGATTCCCAGAGAGTAAGTCAAGTACATCAAATCCTGACACTTCTCAGACCACAACCCACAGCGTGCAGCCTAATGGGGGAGGTGGCTTGGAAGCCGAGATGTTGGGTGTCCTGTACACTCACGTCAGGCATCCCACAGCTCCCTGGGCAGCTCCAAGCCGAAGCGCAGCCAGTGGGGGAATCTCCTACCAGGAGAGTTAGTGCCCAGGGCACCCCCACCAGGAGGATGGAAAGGGCACCAAAACACACTTCAAACTCCCTCTCTGAAGCCTGACTGAGACCACACACTCTAGCTGAGTTCTCGGGGCCAGGGCCCCAATGTGCCTGCTTCCCATGCAGCTAGCTCAGAGGCCTGGGTGGTGACAGTCATAATGCCACCAGAGGTGTGACCTACCTCGGGATCTTCGGGGAAGATGTTGTCAACCAGCCTCTTGTACCTGGGGCGAAGGGCGCCACAGCAGCCACACACACCTGGAATGGGACCAAAGAACATCCATGAGCAAAGCCCAAGGAGACCCCGACACCAGGGTCTAGGTCAGCACAGCCTAGGAGCAAAACAGGGCCTTGTTCTTCTGGGTCCAGGGTTTCCACTGTCAAGCCACTACCATACCCGCTTCACACCTCTCCTTGGGGATCAAGCGAGTGTAATATGCAGAGGTGAAGCCAGGCCTTAGAAGAGCACTAGGAGGGGTGAGACCTTATGGGTGAGGGCGCACACTGAGGCCATGTGCACCCTATCCCCAGCACACAAACACACACATATACATACTCGTGGGACAGGACTGACTATACAGCTGCCTTCTACAGCTCAAGTCCTGGGGAGACAGATACAGCAGGAAAGAGGGTGTGGCTCCTCCTACCAGCCTCTTCATTTGCTCCCAATCCCATCCATTCTCTGTGCCCCAAGTTCCCTATCTCATGGCCACTTAAGGTCAGGATGTTATATGAAAGTCATAAAATAAAGTGAGTGTTAACTGCTAACATCTGAAACTGTTTTTATTGCAGTGTGACTGTGATATTTGAAAACTGCGGAGTTTGAGGGTTGGACCAGGCCCTACACCAGTGCATGGCTCCCAAATGCCAGTCTGTGCAAAATGAAAACCTAAGAACAACGCAGCAGGTTTGCATGAAGCTACATTATTTCACTGAGAAGACAGAGGTGACTTCCTTCTTGGTCTTTCATGATGGTGATAGGAAATCAATGATAAAAGAAACTTTGGCAAAATAACTAGGTCTCACCATAAAAAGTTTAGTTAATATAGGAAACCACAACATCTGGGAACAGCTTCTCTCCTTCAACTTTTGCACCCCGCAGGAGCCTCCCCCTACAATTCCTATCCACCTACCCCCAGGAAAGCCCAACCCCCACAGAGAAATGGGGTCCCCTACACTCCTCTGATTAATGGTGAATACTGTTGGTATAAGCATTCTACTTGAAATGCAACTGTGCCCTGGGAAGATTATGCCTGGGAGTCATTGAGAAAAGAATGAATTCCCTCAGTGGGAATTATTTCAACCACACAAAGAGAAGTAGCTTTGGGAGCTCTGGGTGGGCAGGGATACTGGGCCGCTGGAGGATGGCAGAGCAGCTCTGTGGGCTCTGGGCAGAAGTGGGTATTAGGGAACGCCATGTCTTTGGAGACACCAAGGGCACCCAGCAGATAGGGATTGAGCCTCAGATACTGACCTGAGATCCCATGGCCCCACTCCCAGGGAAGCTGTGTGGCCCTCGGCTTCTACCTGCCTCCAGCTCCTCTGGCTGCCCAGCCTCCCGGGTCTGTGTGGCGTCTCCTTCTCCCCACCCTGTTCCCAGCCCAGCCTTGGAGGTGTTGGGGTTTGTCTGGCTGGCATCCTCATCATGGTGGCACCCTCATCATGGTGGGACAGCCCAAGAAAGACAGGTTCCCCATTTGGGACTCCAAGCCTAGGGTTTAAGCCTGTGGCTGCCCTGACCCCTACCTATGTGGCTCTCAGGATGCTTCTACCCAGTGTCCAAGTGGGACATGCACCAACTTGTTTAATCTCTATAACTTCATTCCATGGATACTAAATATATCCTCCTTTTACAGATGAGAAAACCGATACACTAAGGGGTTAAGTTACCTGCAAAGAGCCATACAGCTCTAATATATGGCACACCAAGATCTGAACCCTGAAAATCAAATTTGAGACACCATGTGCTTATCCATTGTACCAAGGATGGATGTCTTACGTAGTCACTGAGCTCAGAAAACTAAAGGCATCTATAGATAAAGAGGACCATGACGGCAGCTCATCTCAGACCCAGTGTGCACCTGGGTCCCTGGAGCTCTTGGTCAATGCGGTTCTGGTGCAGCTAGTCTGAGGAGTGGCCTGAGGCTCTGCATGCCCACTGAGTACCAGGTGCTGCTGACACCCTGGCCAGTGGCCACACTTGGAGTCTGCAAAGCACCAGGACATGGAGGCTACGGGCTTGGGACCAGGGGTCAGAAAGGCTTAGGCTGAAATCCCTGCTCTTCCAATTTCTTATTGTTTGACATTGAATTAGTTACTTAATCTAAATCTCCATTTACTCGTATATAAAAAAAAAAAAACGAAGATGATAATGGTTCCCACCCAGGGGCTTCATGGGATAAGGCACTCCTTGGCCATGTCTGTCTCTTCCAAACCTCTGTGGGAAACACGGGAAGGGTGATGTGAGGCCCACACGGAGGACACTTGGAGCAGGCTGAAGGGTTAGGTGTTGTCTACAGTAATAGGAGCCCTGGGAGATCCTGTGCAGTGGGGAACGATCATGATCATCCACAGGCAGGATTCCCGGCAGGGAGCTGTGCCCGAGACTCAGGGGCAAATGCCCACACTGAGTGTCGGGCTCAAGACTGGAGGGGAGGCAGAACCGGCGAAGGCTCAGGTGGCCCCAAGAGGCGCAAGACAAGGAACAGGACCCAGAGAACAGGGGCACCCTTACCCAGCTGGGACGCAGGTGGCTGGGGAAGCGTGGGCACATCAGACAGCTGGTGAGGAGGGCAAGGGCTCCCTGAAGGACCAGGGCTGAAGGCCCAAAGCCCCCCACCTGGATGTGACCACTGCTGGGCACAGCACTGCACCGAAGGAAAGAGGACCCCACTGCTCAGAAAGTCGGAAGAAGGGAAGGCCGAGCTCACGGACGCCTCTCCCTGTCTCCCTGTCCCATGTGGGGCCACTGTCTCCAGGGTCTCCTCCTCTACTTCCTATTAGGCTTTTTACCTTTTTCTCTGCTTCTTTCCTAACAGCCTCCAGCTGGGTCACTGGGACCCTTCAGGTGGCTAAACTGGTCTCAGAAATAGATCTTATTAGCATACCCCTGAAAACCCAAACCCCTATCTCAGTGATCTGATCTCCTAATTCACAAGATGCTTGTAGCTGATAAACAGTCTCCCCAAGGGTACATGCTTTTTTTTTTTTTTTAAGCTTTACAGAGAACCTGGCTTATGGCTGTAATTCCAGCTATTCAGGAGGTTGAAGCAGAAAGAACTGTAAGTTCAAACTCAGTCTAGACCACTTAGTTAGACCCTGTCTCAGAATAAAACTTTAAAAAAGAGCTCAGAGGAAGAGTACTTGCCTATCACGTGTGAGGCCCTGAGTTTAATCCTCAGTACTAGGGGAAAAAAGGCTTAAAGCCAAAGAAAATAATCCCTAACAGTAGAGCCTTAAGACATTTTGGCATCAGGGTGTTTATAAGAAGCCAGGACACAGGTGTCTGAAAATACTCTTCTGTTTAGTTCTAGAGTTTTGTTTGCTTGTTTATTTTTAGTCTTTTACCGTTTTGAGAAAAATAAGGTAGGAAGATAAAAACAGCCTGGTTTAGAAAGAAAAAAATATAGAAAAAAATTAATAGTTTTGTTTAAGTAATTCACCACATGATAAATCTCAAAAGCAGACATGGTAGAGCACTCTAAAACCACATGGCTGCCTATATCCCAACAAGAGGAAAGAAACCCAGGAGGGCTCCCTAGGAGGGCAAACCCAGGATGATTACTTTACCATTGCATCTGCTCCACCATAGAATGGGGCCAGCCAGAGAGTTAGAGAGTTTTTGGAATCTCAGCCAGTGGGCAAAAAGCCGTGAGCAGAAGCCCACACTTCCTGGTGGGTAATTAGAAGTTAATGTGGGAGACAGGCTTCTCTCTGATAAGGCAAAGAGCCGGGGAAGGCTTTGGCCAGGTGCCCACAGCCTCTGGAGCCAAAGCAGCTCAGGAGGTCTTGGGACTATATGCATTCCCAGAAAGCTTCCAACCCAAAGCAGATGAATTCAAAGCAGCCACAATCTAGCTGGGAAAAACCAAATAGAGGACATGAGACTAGGTATGGTGGTGCAGGTTTGGTAATCCCAGCTACTCAGCACACTAAGGCAGGAGGATGTCAAGTATAAGCCCAGCATGGGGAACTCAGAGAGACCCTGTCTCAACGTAAAACGAAAAGGGCTGAAGATGTAGCTCAGTGGTAGAATGCTGACCTAGTAGTACGTTCTAGCTCTGGGTTTGATCCCTGACACTAACACCAAAAAAAAAAAAAAAAAATTTAAAATTAAAAAAGACATTAGCATGAAACTGAAAACTGCTCCTTGTAAGGTGTTTTGTTTGTTTTTTGTACAGGGGAATCGAACTCAGGACCTTGTGCTTGCCAGGCAGGCGCTTACACCACTGAGCTATCTCCCCAGCCGCTAGGTGTTTAAGTAATATATATATATATAGATAGTGTGTGTGTGTGTGTGTGTGGTGCTGGGGATTGAACCCAGGGCCTTGTACATGCAAGGCAAGAGCTCTACCACTGAGCCACATCCCCAGCCCTTACATATTTCTTTTATCTTGTTCTGAGTGTATTTATTCTTAATGTCAGTACACGGAAGTAGGTGGAGCTTAGCAAGCAGCCACACACCTGTGATGAGCCATTTCATTCTGAGCCCCAGAGTTCTGTCTCTGGTGATTGCATCTGCAGATCTGACCATGTAACACAAAAGGTAAATTTATAAATGAGCCTCTTCTGTCACTAGGACCTGTCTTACCCTTTCTTTTTCTTTAAGAGACAGGGTCCCCTGTTGCCCAGGCTGAGCTTGAACTCCTGGGCTCAAGTGACCTTCCAGCCTCAACCTCTTGAGTATCTGGAACTGCAGGCATCACCACTGCACCTGGCTTTTTCTAATATTTTCATGATTGTTTTAAGGAAAAGAAGAAAAAGCGATAGGGTCAACTTCACTAGTATGAAGCTGCTCTGGTCACGGCAACATCAAATAATAATAACAATAGTTATTATTATTATTACTATTATTATTTTGAGACAGGGTCTCCCTGTGCAGTTCAGTTGGGCCTTGAACCCCCTAGAGCCTAGGCTGGCTTCAAACTCTCCATGATCCTCCTGCCTCCGCCGCCTGAGACGCTGTGCTTATAGGAATGCGCCACCATGCCTGGCTGTAACATCAAGTTATTAACAGAATGCCCAACAACAAGAGTTCAGTGACTTCCTCCGTCCTTAAAACTCTGAGAATGGCCAGACTATTCCCAGATCCCCTGCCCCTCCAGCCCCTCTCACTGTGGCTTCTCTGTCCCCACTGCAGGGACTCCTCAAAGACTCTGCCTCAGGGCCCCTGCACAGACTCTCCCAGCTCCAAATGTTCCTCAGTGTCCCCTAAGCTCTGCCCACTGTCACCCAGCTGAGACAACCTCCCTGGCCACCAGTCCCCTCAGTTTTCTGGCCCCCATTATTCCTTTTCACCCACTGACTCCTTCTGTGTGCACACTGTGTGCCCCTGGCAGATAAGCTCTTCAAGGGCAGGGACAGTTCCTGCTGTGTCCCCAGGCCAGGAATAAGGTCTAACCCAGGATTGAGGTAGAAGGAGGTGTTCATGCACATGTACACGTTGAATGCACAACAACTGATTGAACAGAGAAGTGACGGCGAATGTCAAGTCTATAAGGGTGCAATAAAGCCTTTACTGGAAATTCCTGACTTTGGGCCCAGACCCTCTCCCAGGGCCCCATCTGCCAGGATCCCACTGGAGGAACAGGCTTTGAGGTAGAAACATGCTGGATGTGGGCAGCCAGGTCTCAGTGTCCTGCTGTCCACCTTGTCTGCCCCCCGGGCCCCTGCCTGCCCTGTGGTCACAATCCCAACTGCTCATCAGGATTACTTTTCTGCTCTGAAGAGGGGTGAGAGCATTTAAAACATCCCGCTGTGACTCTAGCGCACATGTGACAGCGGACCCCACGGCCACCTCTCACCCAGTCTGCCAGCTCTGTATGCTGCGTCACAAGTCATGTGCACTGCGGCCCTGTGTCCCCTTGGCTCTACCGGCCCGATCCTGCTTCCCTGACCCACCTGACCCACTGGCCTGACCACCAATGGCCCAGGGCATCCAGGTTTGAAACAAAGCCTCTGACACTGAGCACACCATACTGCACAAAATCTAGGCCTCCTCTCCATGCTCCCATTACCAGCCGTGCATCCCTCAGCTACCAGGTGGCTGAGATCCGCAGTCAGTCCCTTTGCGTTCCTGCCTCCCCTTCATCATTGCCCAGTCTCCCCAGGGCTGCTCTTTAATACCTAGAAAATCCCAGGGTTTACTACCTGCTCTGCACTAAGCCCTAGCCACATACTTTACAGTATTTCATACGGTCTTTGTCAGGTAGGTATAAGTTCTCACTTTACAGATACAGAGACAGGACCTGAGAGGTCAAGTGCCCTGCCCAAGGTCACACAGCCTGAGCCTCTCTGCCCCAAGGCTCCCTTCATTCTCCCAAAATACATCCCCTGAGTTCACTGTGTTCCTTCTTTTCCTTCCTTTGTGACAGCCACGGTGCTTCCCGGAAGCCTCCTTGACCCTGATAGTAGGCCTGTCAGCTGGCCATCTGGGCAGGCTTCAACCCACTGTGTATGAAGCTTTAAAGCAAATGTTTGATTTAGTTTGCTTTATAATCATGCAGTTAGTGTGTCTCACCTCTGCAGTAGTAAGTCAATGCTTCTGACACAAGCAGAGACTACCATAGGGTCAGAAGACAAACGCTTGGGCCCTTAATCTATTACTCATTCAAGCATGATTTGTTTTCTTCTAAGGCAATCAGGACTTAAAAAGCAGTTTTTGCTTTAGAAAACAAAAAAGGAAGGAAGTGACTTCATTTAAGCCTACAGACACCCAATAGGTAACTTAAAAGGTCTGTCTCCTTTATTACCTTACCTTTGGGTCAGACCCTTGCTCAGCTCTACATATAGGCCTACTAATCATCTGTCAAAAGTTGCAAAAGAGGTTGATGAGCCTTGAATTTGCATAATCTATCTCACTCCCCTTCAAGACTAGAGATTTTCAGGGACATCTGATGACCAATGAGCACCTGAAGTCTCCAATCATTACCCTAAACCATAGTCACCTGGATTCCAGCACAGCCACAAGCAGCAACAATCATCTCATGGAGACTGATTTGCCTCCTAAGCAACAAGGACTTCTCCAGGGGCCACCCTGCAAAGCCTGAGACAATGCCCAACCACACACAGCCCACCTCCACTAGCCCATAGGGGCTGGTCCCATTCTTTGTGAATGGGCCAGTCTGACCCTTGTCCTAAGAGCAGTGTCCCCATCAGCTCCTCAAGCTAAAGTCTCTTCCTCTTTTCTCTTACTTTCTAACTCTGCCTATGCCTCCTGCCGATGTGTTCAGAATTTACCTTTCTGTGACAAGACTGTTTCCCATAGGGTGAGTTGAAGTCCCCAACTCCTCTTCTGGGGACCTCACTGAGCCCCATCTGGTAATACTTCCATTTAGAATCTAACCAAAGCTGCTGACTACAGATGAGGGCTCGTCCCCTGGAGTGCTTTCCCCCTGAGCGGTCCTCTCCCTGGGTTCTGCCTCCTGCAGCAGTGCAGCCCACAGCAGGGCACAGAGCAGAGACTACAGTGACAAGGGTCGGGAGGTCAAAAGAGTGCAGACTGGAAGGCCAGGAGGTGACAGACCCACAGCTGGGCATGCAAGGATGTTCGGGTGACAGGAGTGGGGGTCTGCGCCCTTGCCGAGCCTACCTGGGAAGCTCCACACAGGAGTCCTTTCCCTCCACCAGCTTGGATAGATAGCCTTTATGCTGCTGCGTAACCCCATACACACAACGTCCTACCTCTGCTGATCAGGCTGTCATTTCAGAGACCCACTCCCACCCAAACTGTAAATTCCTGAAGTCTTGGGTTCTTCCTGCTTCACTTCCGCCTCAGTACAGTATCCCGGGCCCAGCAGGACTCCAGGAAACTGGCATGACGCATCACTTCACTGGCCTTTGATCAGTGTGAGACCCGGGCACGGCCCCTCCTCCCAAGCCCTGATTTCCCTTCAATAAACATCAACTCCATTAACCTCATTCACCAAGAAAAATATCTTTTTGCTCAAAATAGTTCATATTTATTTTCATAGCTTTACAGTCTCCCTGTAAAGACAAGGGCTGGACTCGGTCATTCCTACCAAAGCAGATGGAATTCTTTTCAAACAATTTACAATAAAATTAAGCTGGCGCTAATGGTCAATTTGAATGAATTGGAGGAAATGGAACAAAGTTCAGAGAGAAAGGCGTATCCAGCTGGATCCAGGGCCTCCCCCGGGGACCCGACCTTCTGGTACTTGCTGGGTGGCATGCAGATGCTGCCCTGAAGGGACCTATTCTCTGAGGATATGAGGCTCACATGCATTTAAAATTGGTAATGTGTCACAGTGAACCTAAGGAGTCCATAAAACTGAAGAAATCTGAGCTGGATGAGTCCAGGCAGGCTTCCTGGAAGAGGTGAGACCTGAGCTGGACCCTTAGGGATGGAGCGAGCTGGTATGTAGTGGGGGAACCCAGGAACCACAAACAACTTGTCAGTGGGGAAACACTTAAGAAAACCAAAAAGGTTCCCTCTCCTCTTTTTCCTGGCTTCTAATTTAAAAAGAAATTCATGCTCGAGGGGACAAATTTGCAAAACAGGGGGAACAAAATGAATATACACATCACTTAACCACGTTATTCAGAAATAAGTACGTATTAAAATGTTAGTGTCCTTGTGCTAGTGTTTTGTTTGTGTTTATACATATCTTTAAAATATATGGATAAAACTATGATCACACAGAACAGTATTAAAAATAATTTTCTGCTTCTTATATTGTGTTTAACTTCTAGCTTTTTTTTTTTTTTTTTTTTTTTTTTTTTTTGGTTTTTCTCCGGTACTGGGAACCGAACTCATGACCTTGCGCTTGCCAGGCAGGCGCTTTTGCCGCTGAGCTAAATCCCCAGCCCCTTCTAGCTATTTTTAAAAACCTCATTTTAAAGGTTATTCATTATTCCACTTTTGTCCAGACTCTGATCTATTGAATCATTCTCTGTTGTTTCCAATTTTTCATTACTTGAGTGAAGCAACCCTTTGCCCTTGGTAATTGAAGCTGGGAACCGCGTGGGCAGAGCCTGGCCCTGTCTCACTGGTGAAAAACCAGAGCACCGTGTGGCTGCCCGCGAGGGCCAGGGCTGCCTGTTGTCTGGGGAAGACTGGGATTGGAGACATCAGGAGCAGGTGCTGAGGAAACAGAATTTGGGATCGAGTTTCCAGACGCAGCTTCCTGGAAGCGGAATGAAACAGCAGCTGGATTCTCCCTGGGGAGGCAGACAAACCAGGAGCAGCTTGACCTTTCAGTGCTCCTGGGTTCCAAGACGCTCACTGCTCCCTAGCCCGTCTCAGCTAATCTGATTGCCACCTTAATAACTGAGGATGGGAATTTAAAAAGAGAGAAACCTGTGAAATTGATTTAATGTCAGGGTTTTAATTCTTTACTAACCGTAGGCTTCCCTAGGCTTTGGTATCGCTTTTGAAACAAATAATTGGTGAAGATGAACAGAATGTTTTTCCATTCTCTGTCTCCTAGGACTACTAATAGGAGGAAAAATTCACCTCATCCATGTTCAGGGGCTGGAGAGCCTGCTGCAAACCCCAGTTCTCACTCTGACAAGCCCTACAGAGGCAATGCACTCAAACCCTTGTGGCCCTGCTCTACTCATCTGCAGAATCGGGGAAAGGACTCTGCCTCATAGGGTTAACACAGGTGAAGTTTGGGCCTGTTTCTGGCACATGATAAGCACTCAGTACCTTCAGCTTTCACCACCACCAGCATCACAGTCACCATCACCATTGGTTTGCTGTGCTAATTTATAAGGAAAGATTTTTTTTCCCTACTTAGGAGCAAGAAAATGGAATAACAGGGCAAGAGAGGCCCCTGTAACCTTTTGTGTCCACTTTTATCCTTGGAATATAAAAGTACAAACAGCCATCGAGGAATCCAAGTTCAGATCTAGATAGAGACCCCTTCACCTCTCGGGTGCCCAAGGACACAGTTCCTTAGGGAAACACAAGGGAAAGGTGGCACCGGACCATCAGCATCAGTTAACGCATTTCAAGCCTGCCTGCACCAGGGACTATGATTCCTCCATTTAGTTTCTACAGAAAGTCTCTGAGGTTGATAACAGTATCTGTGTTTTAGAGATGGCACCAAGCCAAGGCTCTCCTCCAATAGGCTGGCTTGTGGAAATGAAAGAATGGAGGCCACTGCCTGCAAACACCTCACACTGTTGCTGAGTAAAAATAGAAATGAAAACACATTCGGCAGGAATATGGAACATATAATCAGGGTCATACAAATTAAACATTATATACACACAGCAGGGTTGCTGAGGAAACAAGAGATGGAACCGGAAAGTGTCAGAGGAGACTCATTTTGAACATTATTTAAAAGAGAAGAATTTCGTTGTACTGTGAGAAAAAGGCTTTCCATGTAGGAAAGGGTGGGATGAAAACACATCTCCTGAGTGTGCAGTATGTGCCTAACTTGAACACTTTACATTAGAAAAAAAAAGATCCCATGAGGTTAGTACTGTTACCGTTCAAATGAAAAAACCAAAGCTCAGAGAGGTTACTTAATCGGGCCAAGATCACACAGAGAGCAAGGCACAGAGCCAGGGAGGCCCCGACTTTGGAACAATGGTGAGAGTAAACACAGCAGAGATAAAGAAAATTTGCTCAAGTAGGAAATGACAAATTCCAGGATGATTTTTTTTTTTTAAAGTCATCTCTAATCTGTAATATCTGAACCAGCTATGTGGATTGGACCGATGTCAAGTTCCTGTATATACTGATACTGAACCATAATTACACAGGACATTAATGCCAGGGGAGGTGGGACGTGGGGCCTCACTATGCCTTTCTTTGCAACTATCTAGAAATCTACAGGCTTTTAAAAGTTGCACATAACACAGGCAAGGCTGCTTCCTTTGAGGAAAGGTGGTAGCTGGCACAGGCCTGGACTCAGCAGCCTGATCTGCTTGTGGGGCACAGTGCAAGCCCAGTTGCGCCAGGGCCTCACCTGCCTGCCCTGAGTGACCAACCAGCCCCACACTAGGGCAGCCACACTACAGGGAGGAACACTATCTGCCAACACTTAGGCTGAGCTTTATTATGGGCTCCCCTGGTGCCAAGGGCCACCGGGGTACATGAAGTGTTACAAGGCCCAGCTCCGGTTTTCAGGGCTCTCCAGTTGGACAGAAAGGTACAATCAGTAAACAAACCACAAAGCCTGGGTGTGCTGATGATTCTCCCAGGAAGGCTCTTGTGTTAGAGACTCCAGTGAGGGTGCAGCCCCAGGCCAAGCTGTCAACAGGGACTCAGCAGGGAAGCAAGCCGTGAAGGATGGGGCCTGGCAGGCGGACAGGAGGAAGAGGGGAAGGCCAGGCGAGACACTGTCGTGCAAAGGGGCACAAGTGGAAGTGACTCTGGAACCTGAGCTGGCCTGGGGATCCTTGCAGGCACGTGGTTCCTAGGTCTCAGTGTTGGGTGTGCATCCAATCAAGCGTCTGGACTGCTCAAATACTGTTTGCACAAGGCCGTTTCTAAAGAATGACTCTCCATATTGTCACTCCAAATAGGAATCATATTGTAAAGTAGACATAGCTTTATATTTTATATCACAGAAAAACCTACCTTCCAATTTAGCAACACTGGGATAGGACCTTGGGTCACCCAACCCTCTGTCAGCAGCGGCATCTGCGGGAGGTGAGCAGAGCAGCCAGTGTGAGCCAGTGGAGCACACAGTAGGCTCCATAATGTGGGCTCACTGTCCCCTTTATCCTATTTGCTCAGCATTTTTCCTCCTATTAAATTGTCATAGTTATCATTTTGAATGTGTGCTTAAAGTTCCAGTGAGATCCACAATAATTACTGAATCTTCTATTTTGTCTTAGATATTTATCTTGTTTGCATTTTCATGCCATTAAAAATAATGTTGCTTCATGAAGTCTCTGCCCACACCTATGTCTTTGAGATTTCTACCTATTCTCTCTTCCAGTAAATTTAGTGTTTCTACTTTAATGTTTAGATCTTTGCTCCATTTTGACTTTAGCTTAGTGCATGGTGATAGATATGGGTCTAGTTGTAGTCTTTGGCATGTGGAAAGCCAGTTTTTGGAAGAAACTGTTCAAAAGAAAAGACAAACTGTAATGGGGGGAAAGGGAAAAGGCAGGAAGAGAAAAAGAAAAAATATATTTATACACAAGATAGTTATACAGCTAGTTTCTCTTAGTTCATTGAAAAGAAAAATTCACGCTAATACTGCTTGGCCAAGATATCACCCCTATATCTTGTACTCTGAATAACTACTACCAAGACAACAATATGCAATGTATTAATTATTGTAACTCTCCTACTAACCTGTTTTGAAGCTGTTTTATTATTGTTTTTTTTTCTTCACTTTAAATAAAAAACATAAAAACAAAAAAATAACGTTGGTAAGAGCACATGCATATTGCAACTTTTTACGAATTATTCCTCTAGATAGATTTCCAGAAATGAAGAGAAAAGGTCAGAACATGTATAAGACTCTGACATTTGCATGATCTCTTCAGGAACAGGACATGCCTGTGTGTAACAAGAGAGGAGCTCCAGGCAGCGGTCTGGTGGGTGCTCAGGCTGTGAGAAGACCTACTGCCAGTGTGAGGAGCTCAGCCTTCAGCCAGGATAGCAGTGCCTTCCTTCTTCCTTGAGGGCTTTAAAACAAAAAACAAAACACAAGAAACCTTGGGGGCTTTTTAAAAAGAGCTGCACGAGGAGGAGACTAGTGCTCTAGGAAGAGTAATCAGCCTAGGTGAATTTCAGTTTAGAGAAAAGAGACAAAGGCAGACAACTACCAGAAGGAATAGGAGCCTGAGCATAAAAAAATTAAGGACTGGCCAGGTGTGGTTGCACATGCCTGTGATCCCAGCACCTTGGGAAGCTGATGCAGGAGGAATTCAAGTGTAGCCTGGGTAATTAAGCAACTCAGTGAGACACTGCCTCAAAGTAAAAAAAGCAAAATATAAAAAAAGGGCTGTGGCTCAACCCCCAGTTTCCCCCACCCCTAAAAGAAGACCAGAGCCAGGACTGAAGTGAAGAGAACAGAAAGGAAAGGCCACCTGGGCCAGGAAGAACCACTCTAGCCATAGCTGACAGCAGAATAGGAGGAAAAGCTAAAGCTTGGAACTGGTGATAAAATGTGACCACCACCTCCTGCTATTCCAGAGGTGCTTCCAGAGCCGCACAAATACTGGAAGCTGGATTAGAACTCATCTCACCAGGGAAGAATGACAGTATCAATAATCTCACATGACTGGAGTGATGTGGTATGTTTAAGAGCTACCATGAGAAATAAGGTGAGTTGGTGCCTGTCTGAAAACTGCCTGATAAAACCAATGTGCTGCAAAGCTGATTCAAAATCTGGAGGGAAAACAAAGGAGAGGAGGCTTCCAGCATTGACACCCTGTTCTGTAGCTCCCACTAACCACGGGCACAGACACACTTCCACCACGATGTCTGTACACAAAGGCACCCTGAGGGAAAACTAGCCAGCTGGCTGAAATGTATTTGAATAAATAATTTAAGTGCAAATCTCATTGGCATAATTTGAAGACTACATGATAACACAGAAAAATTCCTAGGAAGGAGTGTTCAGTGGAAAAGGCATACAGTGGTTCCCTTTTATTCACACTTTTGCTTTCTGTGGTTTCAGTTAACCGAGGCCAATCTCTAGGCAAAAAATATGAAATGGAAAATTCAAAAATAAAAACATCCCTAAGTTTTAAGCTGTATGTTGTTATGGTTTGTGTCTACATGTCCCCTCAAATCCTCATGCAGCCATGGGGTGGGCTTCTAGATTTATGATTGATTCATAGTCCAATGTTGGAATTATGGGTGTGAGTACTACACCCGCCCTGGGACAGATAGTTTGCATACAATGCAAGGGAGGGCAGCAGGAGGCTTGCTCCCTGCTACTCCTCCCTTTTGCTCTTGTTGCTTTTGCTGTCTTCTGCCACCATGAACTGTTGCCCTCTGCCATGGAGCCCGCTGAGTATGGACTGAAACTGCCACAAATTGTGAGCTAAATAAACCTTTCCTTCCTTAATATTGGGAGTCAGGTATTTTGTCTCAGCAACAAGGGAAAAGTAACTAAGACATATGTCATGCCAAGTAGCATAAAGAAATCACACAAGGTCCTGCTCTATACTACCAACGATATAACCCATTCCTCTGTCCAGTATACCTGTAGTGTATATGCTACCCTCCAGTTTGTCACTTAGTAAGTGTCTTGGTCATGAGATCAATTGCTACAACATTACAATGCTTAAATCACATTTGCTTTACTTAATAATGGCCCCATAGTGCAAAAGTATTGATGCTAACAATTTTATTAACAATATATTGTTATAATTCTTTTATTTTATTACTAGTTGTTATCATTAATATCTTACTGTGCCTAATTTATAAGTTAAGCTTTATCATAGGTGGGTAGGTATGTGTCTTAGTTACTTTTCTCATTGCTGAGACATTAATACTTGACACCCAAAGTTAGAGGAGGAAAGGTTTATTTCAGGTCACAGTTTGTAGAGGTTTCAGATCACAGTTGGCTCACTCAAACGCAGGGCAGCATAGGAGATGAGACATAGTTCATGGCAGGGCAGGAAGGAAGCAGCAAGCAGTAGCCTCCCTTTCCCTTTTATCCTATCCAGGCTATGGGCATTTTGGGTAGTGCCACCCACACCCAGGTTGGGGCTTCCTATTACCCACACCAAGAACTATGACAAACCAATTAGTGGACTAATCCTA